GAGTCCGGGGTATTCTCTTGAAGTAAGCGTTCGAAAACCACCCTTTGAGGAACTTGAGCAAGTTGCCTTCTCCTGAGACCGAGAGTAACGCACTCTCCCAAAAGGTGTAATGAGGTCTCCTCATCTACAAGTGTCTCCACATATTCTACAAGTGTCTTCACTTTACAGACCTAGCCTACTGAAGACCCCGGAGTGAATTCTCACTTAATTCGTGCCCATTTTTTTAACCTTCTTAAATCACAATCTCCCAGAAGCTCTGTCGCTTTCTGAAGCCCCCGGAAAACTTTTCCAGCGCTCCGACCACCTCCAGTCTGTTAGCACCCCTTGTTGCCAGCGCATTAGCTACCTCATTTCTCTCTACGGCCGGCAGCATAGCCTGGCATCCAGCAAAGAGGGAACCGCTTCCGCCTTACTAATTTACTGAGTTTCTTTTGATGTTATTAGGCGACTAAATCGCTCTTTGTAAAAATAACACTCCTCTTTCAGGCTTTTGCAGAAACTTAATTTTTAAACGTTTACCCCAATAACTACAACCCTACAAAACGTCTTAAGAATCAATGAATGACTTGGTTTAGAGAAAGCGATCAGCTTTTATTGGTGTTGATGATCTAATTTAATTCTTCAGTCACTAAAGTATTTAACCAAAACATTGGAAAGAAACGGATAATATTCAATCCATACTACCCCATAATTTTCCTTTATTCACATGTTTATTAAAGATTGTTCCCTTTTCCAATTAAGACAAAATATGTTATGCCATCCATATAAGAACGATTCGGCGGTCTTAATCAACTTCTATTGAATTTTTATTATATAACATTCACAAATTTGTATGTGTTGATTAGTTATTATAAGTGTTTTTACATATGTTCAGAGCAAAAAATAAGAAAAATATAAAAAAAAATCAAATCAATGATTGATTTTTTTTTTGTTATTACATTGAAAACATTTATATAGTAAAAAAAAAGTTATTTTCACTTTAATAGAGCTAAAACTAATATTCTTTTATGCACAAATTATCTATATATACATAATTACACGGAATGTGAATTGAAACATGAAAGTAACAGTGTGTAATTTTAGAACGTTATTGAATCGTCGTTGTTAAATATTGCAGACGTACAAACCATTACACACGTATTCATTCACCAAATACGAGAATATCAATAAAATGTTCAAAAAAAAAAAAAACTTCATTTACTCCTCCATTTACTTTTTAAATGCTATTAAATTATTAATGAGAAACGTATGATATCTAAGTATTTATATTTAGCTTCATATATATTGAAAATTGCAATGTTTATTTAAAAAAGGATTTTAGAAATAAAATGTTTTCGAATAGAATTTAAATGCAGTCAAATAGAAAATTGAAATAAAACAATATAAAAGTTATATACAGACGAGAAAGCTGGTCATGTCAACTCTGTGCTACTCGTACGAATTTGTTATCCTATTGGTGTTGTAAGTTGTTTATAATACCCTTTGAACATACGTTAGCACTGAAGTAAGTAACTGTATTCATTAATGCAACATTAGTTATGTACCTTAAATATTTTTCGAATAACAACTAAAGTTGCATGGCAGCTATCGCAAGGTGTCAAGGAATTTCAACAATTTTCATCAATCATAACAAGCCCAATAGTATATTTGCTTGTACAAAATTTCGATATTATAATTTCAATAATATCTGAGATATAGCCAAATAATATTTGAAGTTGTAAAACAGCCACCCAAGCCCCTACCTTGACCACTTCCAATTTAAATAGTAATAATATTTATATAATGAATTATTTGTGAAAATTTGGTTAACTGGACTTGTCATCAATCGGGATAAGAACTCCCCATTATACAAATCTAGAGCGGATGAACTGGCATTATTCTCGGATGTGGCATATTCTCCGATAAATAATGGACTGCCTGAACTCAGACCATTATTTCTCAGTGCTACAAACGGTAAGGCAAATTTATAATATTCTTCGAACATATGTTCGTACGGGTATAATAATATATGTATATATAATTCGAGTGTGGTATAGGTACCCATATTATATTTATACAGAAATTTTAATAAATTATAAAATATAAAAGTGTATGTTGCATATACGTTTAGGTATACGTACTTTTATTAATTGAATAAAAAAATAATGGAAAATTAAAATAATATTATATTATACTTTAAAATAATTATAAAAAAAACAGCATTAGAAATAACACAAAAGGAATTTCTTTTACTTTGTAAACGTGAGAACAAAGCGGAAAATATAAATGTTTAGCTAGCTTTGTTCAAATTTAAAACACAAAATTCTTTAATTTTAATACTCATCGCTATTGAAATGATTCCAGGTCCATGCTAATAATATAAAATCATATAAGGATGAGACTAAAATGTTGGTATTTTCTGTAAAGGGTTTCCATTTTTACGATGTTTTAATATGCAGCTGCTCCTATATGTTAAAATTTTATGAGTGTTTTGTAACATGACCATTTAGATAAGACCATAATATTAGTCTGACACTATTATGCAAAAACAAGTTGTAATCAATATAAAATTGAAGAAATTCTAATGGCATCGAGTTAAATTTTAATTAATTTTAATTGTAAAATGTTGTGGATTTATATTACTTAATAATTCAAAGTCACTCACTCCATTGAACTTCAAAATTGTTAAAATATGAAGCTATTTAAAGTGCCTATAGTAAATTAATATCGTGTAAATTAAATCTACATAAAGTTGGTAGAACAACTAATTATTTAAATTGATTTTTATGATGTTTGTAATAGAAAAACTTTATTAGATTGTCTATTTAATTTATCCACAATAATAGTGTATTTGCGGTGTGAAAAATTAATAAACATCAAGTGGAGTTGGGAAATTATCACATCTATGAATTTGAATAGACGAACACTGAATTTGCAAGGATGATAAAAATTAGGTTTCTTTTACAAATTTCACTTGATTTTATAAACCTGTGACCAATTACAATCGGAAGCATTTCACAGCGATCACAAGCTGCGCTAGGAAAAGCATTGGACTCTCGTGAAAAATAGCACAATAGATTGTAGATTGCCTTAACCTGTTATCTACAATCTATAGAGTTGTGAAGTTTCAATAATATACAAAAAATTATACTCATATTTTATTAATAAAATTTAATAATATAAAAAATTCAATTTTACATAAACTCTGCAGAACATTACGATTCCGTTTTTTTTTAAATTACTTTCTTATATTGCTCTCTCACACTTTCATATGCTATGTACCTTCAAACTATTTTATGCTCTCTTACTCAGTGTTAAATTGAGAGAGAGGTATACAAACTAATAGCGCCTCGACAGTATGTTCAAAAATTTTACCACGTAAGTTACAGGTTAAGAGATTTAATTAACTGAATGTTAGATCAATATTATTGAAGGAAGTAAAAGTATGGCGCTCTAAGGGCGTTACCAATATTGATTAATTATTAAGATTGATGATAAAATTAAATTTATGAAAATTATAAATTCATCACATTCATTTAAATTTTAAAAAACGATTTTCACATTAAATTATTTTAAAAAAAAATGAATTTCAATAATAATTTTTGCAATATGTTATTTTACATCAAAATATAAATGAAATCATTTAAATCCGGGTTTCTTTCACAAAAAGAAATACATCAAACATTATAAAAATGAAAAGACATTGGTCTATATAAGTGTAGGTACAGGAAGGTTTTATAGGTTTATGAAATTTATTTAAAATTTTAATAAATTTTTTAACAGGTCGTGTTCGACATATTCATATTGCAGACTTAAAATATGTACATACAAATATAGAAATTTGGTGAAATATATTTGAAATGCAGATCTATATGTATCTTATATACTATATTATTTATATAACATGTGTGTGTGTGTTTAAATTTGAAAAGAAAATTACTTTGAAGTTTTTCTATTTCGGTTCGCATTTGTATTCTATATATTAAATTTTGTAGTCTACCCATAAACTACATACATTTACGTATATAAATATAACTTGTATGATAATATTTACATTTTATTTAAAAAAAGAAATCAAATTAAATATTTACATAGTTCAGAATTTGCCTATATACTCTATATTATGAAGATTTTAATTTAAAATACACTATATGTGCTATGATTACTACACTATTTGATGATGATGATTATTATATGGAAACCAACACAAAATAATAAAAAAAGGAATTTCTATATTATAGGAAATTTAAAAAAAGAAACACATAATATTTATCTTAAAATTTTATTTAAACTTATTCTAAAATGAGAATATGAACAAAGAATAGGGGTTGGTATGTTCTATTTACTTTATATGTATATTATTTTGAAATGAAAATCAATCGAGATAATTTGGTCAACTTTGAGGTTATATAAAAATAAATTATAACGCTACTTAAAAAATTCAATTAAATGCGAGATCTTAATTATTACTGTTACTCTAATCAAATTATTCTCGGAACATCAGATCTGATGATCATATCAATCACATCTAGCACTTTCATCGTTCGGGAAAAATTCCGTCTTCAATAAAGTTGCTAAGTGTAAAATGCTAATTTTAATATTGGATTGACAGTCAATCTGTAGATTCTCATAATTGATTACAATGTCTATAATATTTTATAATTTATCACCACTCAAGAGTACAAACATCCTTCTCATTCCGTTCATTCAATATCTCACCCAGACACCGTACTTTAAACCGAATAACAAATTTATAATACTTTTTTTATCTAGTTCATTTCAAGTACACAAGAAGCACAAATAAGAAAAACAAGATCATTCAATGTGGGTAAATATAATTTCATTTTCTTCCAGATTTTTACTTTACCAAAACTTATTCTGTACATATCTACTACACTTAGTCTAAATAAATTTTTTTTTTAAATAATTTACTTTTTAGTATTCGAATGAAATTTTTTTTTTAAATTTAGACATTATTTAAATAAGACAAAAAAAAATTAAATTTTTGTATATGTACATACCTATGTCTTCTACCTGAGTCCAATTTGAAGTCGTTCTCAAAGTTGTTTATTAACGAAAAATGTTATGTAACTTGAAATTAACCATTTATTTATTTATTTATTTATTTATTTATTTATTTATTTTTTCAGTATGTCTGAAAACATATTCAATGTCGCTCTAAAATAGTTGACTAGTCGTAAAAGGATGAGTCTGAAAATAGAAAGCATACAATTTCGATTTTAATACCAAGTTTATTCAAAAACTGTAAGAAAGTATTTTTTTTTTTAAAATGGCTGAGGTTCTTAAGTCTTTTTCACGTTGACCAACAGGATATTTTGTAATTCCCTCCCCCATCTACATTAGCACTATACCTAGGACCATTACAAATTGCAATATTGCAGTCAGCCCAAGTCGCCGAACTTCCGTTGGGATCACAAGACCCCTTCGGAAGCACCTCAGTCGTAAACGTGCCAGTATCCCACATTCACACAATAAGTGCTTCACCGGTTTCTCTCTTTTAAGGGAGAGGACTATTTTAAGGTAGAGCGACAAAACGTGCCCATTCTTTTCAGATCAACCATTGAGAGGCAATATCCAGTAAGTACATCCACTAATATAGGAACGTTTTGGGAAGCCATTCAATGTTTTTTACTCTTTCATATCGAACTATGGCTGTTTTTCAGTCTAATTTCTAATATTACGACAAGAGCATCTTACGACAAAAAACAAATTTTTTGTATTTAGGATTATCTTTAAAATATGCTTTATTATAGACCGTATTTCCATTTAAATTAATAATTTTTTTTTCAATTCAAGTGACAGAAACCTCTTCAGGAAATAATTTGGTTGCATACGTTCAGACCGATTAGGTGTTTTTAAATATTTTTTCTATTGAATTTAATTAAATGAAATGTGCTTTTATAATTTACATACGCTTTCACCACATACATACAATCTCATATACAATATTTTATTTATTTTAATTTATATTTCATCTCATGAACTGTAATTTAAAGTTATTAAAAAGGACTTAGGTTTCCGTTTTTTTGTCTTCATTTTTTTTTACTTCTGTGTATGTAAAATATTTGGTTTCATTTCTCATTGAATATTTTAATAAAGTTTTTACTTTTTTTTTTGTGGTAAATTTTTTTTCTTTACTTCAACAGTTTTTTGTTTTTGGTTTTTATTTTGTTTTTGAATTGAATGACCATTAAATTGGTTTTTTCCATTTAAATGGGTAAAAAATTTTTTGGAATCAAATCTAAAAATATTTTGCAAGTAAAAATTTTTTTTAAATTATTTGGAGAAGTGTAAGTATCTTCGGTCTCTATCTCCATATGCATAGATATTTAAATTTTAAGTACAGAATGAAAAGAATAAACTTGATTAGAATTAATAAAACAAAAAGAAAAATAGTAAAAAGAATATTTGTAAATGAAAATGTTATTAGAATTTTATACTCTAAGTAAATTTTATGAAAAAAAATTTAATTTGTTCTTCACAAAAAGAGGATTATGTTTGTTTTATTCTACTTTTCTTTTTTTTAAATAAATACATGTGTTACTAGAATAATTTTTTAAATTTTATATTTCATTTATGCATGTACATATGTATGTAGGTATAAAGCATAAGTACATAGATTAAGTGAAAGTGATATTCTGGGGATTCTATAATTCTCTTACTTTTTCATTTATGTTATAAAAAAAAAAATTAAATTAAATTATTTTTTTTAATAGTTTTTTTATAAAATGAAAAAAATTTAAATGAAATCAAAGAAAAAATAATATTATTTAAATAATATTATAAAAAAAAAAATTAAATTTAAAATATTTAAATATTTTTTTAAAAGTTTTTTTTATTGCTTTTCTCTTTAAATTTATGGAACTTCAAGTAAGTTTTACTATAGGTATAAAACAAAAGTAATTTCGGTTATTTAAATTTCATTTTTGTTATTTAAAAGATGACTATTGATGAGATACTTGAAACTAATACAGCGTATTTGGGAAGATTGAATTAATTTAGATTAATTTAAAGGGTTTTAGTACACTTTGATTAACTAAGTATGTACATATATGAAATTGCGAATGATCATTATTTATTTAAGGTAGGTTTTTAATATCAAACTTCTTTATGTAGATTTTGCTTGGTAATCACGGAAATGACGATCTTATGCTATAAAAAAATATACATAATTAAATTCATGAATAGCGATTAAAGGTTAGGGTTGCCTAAAATTAAGAAGAAAATTGTCTAATTTATTCACCATTCACCATATGGTGAAAAAATATTCACCACACTATTCAACCTGTGGTGAAATTTGTTTCGATTGTTTTTTATTAAAATAATTGAAATATCTACATGTGGTGAAAAAAGATATTCACCACTCTATTCACCATGTGGTGAAATTTGTTATGATTTTTTTTTTTAACTAAAACAAATGAAATATTCGAGGTGTTACTAGTTTACATTAATTTTTCTAATAAAATTACCCCCATAACAACTAAAATAATAAAACTGTTTCAGTAGTTCATACATTGGCTTATTATATGCGATTGAAAACAATATTATAATAACTATAATCTCTTAAACTAAATCCCCTACTGTTTGTTATTTATTCTCAACATATCCTAACCGCATTCTATGTACATGTTATGTCCTTGATCTAAACAATTCTAAATTTAAAATTGATAAAAATTGAAATTTCAATAAATCTCGGTCACAAAAAATTATTCAAATATTAAAAACTGGTTCCAAAAAAATTTTGTTTTTTGGAAACGTTTTGAAGTTCAATAAAATTATTTCACTTAACTAAATTTTCAATCACAAAATAATAAATTGATTTTATGCTATAGTTAGAAAGCTTGTAACATATTTAAGCTTTTTCAGTTTTCCTCTGACAACCTTTGTTAACATTGATATTAAATAAATATTTATTTTTTGTTTTTCACAATAAAGTCACACAAAGACAATAACAATCAATTTAAATTCAAGTTTTCTAAAAAGAGAGTGACAAAAAGAAAAACTACTTAATTTTTCTTTTTATTCTGCCAAAGGAAACATAAAATAAATTTAATATTTAATATCCATAAAGAAAACAACAAAAAAAAAGGTCCAAACAAAAAATTTAAGCGATTTTCTATCAACAAGAAAATTTTCTTTAATTTCTTTTTTGTAACTTTTCCAAAATCACATGATCAAGTAAAAAAAATATGTTCTAGTTGAACAAAAAAACTAAAAATACCAACTTTTTGTAATATGTAATTTCTACTATTATAACTCTTCTTTAGAGCTATGAAGAGTTAAAGATGCCAAAAGAACCGAAAGCAGAAAAAAACAGAAATAAAAATTGTATACAGTCTAGGACTCTTTTATAGGAGTAAATATTAAACTATAACAATAAAATATCAAACAACATAAAAATATTCTTATAGTATGTACGTTTGTAAACATGTATTTTATGTCCTTGCGTATAATGCAAGAGTAACTAACTTTTATAACTTGCTTTATAATATTCTTGCTCTTTTTATTTCATCTCATTTTTTTTTTCTGAACTCTTGGTTGGTGGTAAGAGCAATATTATAAGAAAATTTCCGGACATTTGTTGCCAAACAAAAATACAAAACTTAAGTAATAAAAAGTAGAAAACAAAAACAGTGAAAACAATATAAAAAAAACAAGGAATAACAGTAAAAGAAACATGATTTTGATGAAAAAATATTATGTTGTTACAACATGACAACATATTCTTAATAAAAGAAAGTAAAAACAAAAAAAAATATAAGAAACTTAAGTAAAAAAAAATTTTTTAAATAGTTTTGTCAACATCAACAAGAAATCGTCGTCGTCGTCCTTGCACAATATAGAAATATAAAGAAGGAAGAAAAATATTAAAAGGAAAATAGGAAAATTAGAAATTAATAAAAATAAAATAAGAAAACACTTTTTCCGTCAATAAAAAAAAAACAAAAAAAAAACAATTAGAATCTTACGAACAATTGTTATTGTTGTGTTGTGTAAGCAAGAACAATAAATGATGACAAACTTGTTCACAAAACTATTTTAAAGTACCAGTGTCTACATTCACATTCATGGTCTATTACCAGTGTAGGATTGTATTTATAAATCCATTTTTGAAGTTAATGATAGGTAGAAGCAATTTAAGTGATATCGCTAATGAAGAAGTACAACTAAGTAGCCTATCGATATACAGCTTTAATTTAAGGTTAACCTCTTCTGGAATATAACCCTTTCTTTGTGGTCCTTTAATCACATGTTTTTTAACAAATTCGTCTGAAATTTGCTGTAGCAAGTTGTGGTAAATTGGTTATAAATTAACTGTACCTCTTACTTCACAGCCGAATGTTTTAGCAAAATTTAATATCCACCTAATTAAAGGTATTTTGTTTTTTAAATATAGCAACCGCAAAATATACAAATGTAATAGCTAAAAAATATATATGTCTGGCTAAAAATAATAGTAAAATATACAAAAATAACAAAATAAATCATTATATTTTCAAAATAACATCATATATAATAGTTCCAAATACATATGTATATAAAAGTGTTTACAAAGCTTTCCCAATAATTATGTTATTATACAAGAAAAAAATCAAAAAATAAATCAAATTATGTATTTATAAATGTAGAATCTTATTTAACATTTTTTCCCATAATACTAACACTTACCATAATATAAATGTACTTAATTTCTTAAGAAAAGATAATTTAATTATGACATATTAATTTCATATACATATATAAAATTATAATTTACATTTTAGTATAATATACCTATGTACATATTAATGGAATGTAAATACCGAATATTCTAGCATATTTTGTACAAAGTGCTATATCATAATTATTAAAAGAAATTAAAAAAAAAATATTAATTATCATGTCATCGATCATCCATTTTCGGAATTTTCTAAGTTAACGTTTCTCAGAAAATTCTTCCGCTCAGCAAAGAGTAGTCATATAATGATTTTAAAGATAGCGCATTTGTTAAAATTTAAAAAATTTAGTTTTTTCATTAAAAACTTTTAAATTTCATCGTAAATCCAAGTGTTTTACTTTTAAATAAACCATAAAAACAAAGGATGACCACAATAAATTTATACTTAATTATAAATTTTCAATAAAACTGTTCAAGAGTTTCCCATTTTCACTCTATAAATTCCATATTCAAAAATAGGGTTTCAAACTCT